TGGACTGCCCAAACCGGGCACCTGGAGGCTTCCAGCTCCAGGCCCTTAAAGTGGCAGAGACACCCTGTGCTCTGCCACACACATCACTGCCATTTTCTCAGTGCTGACGCACATTTCAACACTTATACAACTGCAAGTGTCACAGTGCCAGGGTGCTTTTATGTATAAAAATGCCCTCTGTGGGTGTGTCCAGATGAGTGCGCATGTGCCTCTTGCAGCATCTCAAAGGAGTTTGACATGCCACAAGACGCACGCCGGGAACAAAAAAATGTTCGCCATGCTGGATATTTGCAGTGCAGGCTCAAAATTTGATACCTGGATATCCAGGTATCAAAATAAAACACAAAAGAAAAAAGCAGTCCCTGAAAAAAGCAGGGCAGGGCTGGGTCCCGCTGCGCACTTTCTCCCCTCACACACTGTGGGTCCAGCAACACTGCCGCCAGAGGCAGGTCCCAGCCAGGCATGACACCCAGTCCCTGCAAGTGGCGCAGGGCCCCAGGTGGCAGCCTGAGTGGCCCAGGGCTGCCTTAAGGTGCATAGTGCCAGGCCGGGCTGGGCCCGCGCGATGTGGGATCTGTGTTGTCTTGGTAAGAAGTGGCTAGTGGTGTCCCTCTGGTGCCAGTGCTTGGTTCAGTGTTTTTTAACATCTTCATCAATGATTTGGATGTGGGGGTGAAGAGCTCACTGGCCAAGTTCGCAGACAACACCAAGTTATGGGGAAGCGTGATCATGCTTGAAGATAGGCTGCAGATACAGGCGGACCTAGACAGGCTGGCAAGTTGGGTGGATCGGAAGCAGATAAGGTTTAACATCAAGAAATGTAAAGTGCTCCACCTGGGGATCCCCTGCACGCTTACAGGCTTGGCAACGCCAGTCTGACCAGCACTATGAGTGAAAGAGACCTGGGGGTAATAATTGACCACAGTATAAACATGAGCTGGCAGCGCGATGCTGTAGCCAGCAGGGCAAAAAATACTCTGGCATGCATCAATCAGTGCATCTCCAGCAAAACCAAGGAAGTCATTCTTCTGCTCTGCTCGGCATTTATGAGACCACAGGTGGAGTACTGTGTCCAGTTCTGGGCACTGCACTTCAATGAAGACGTGGAAAAGCTCGAGAGTCTGGAGAAGGGCCACCCATATGATCAGAGATTTGCACAGCAAGCCATATGCGGTAAGGCTGACCTGGGACTCTTCAGCCTGAACAAAAGAAGGCTAAGAGGGGACTTGGTAGCAGCTTACCACTACATCAAGGGCTCAGTGAACAACTGTTCACCAGGACACCCTTGGGGAAAGCAGGAGCAGTGGTCACAAACTCCTGGAAGACCATTTCAGGCTCACCATTAGGAAAAACTTCACAGCTAGGGTGTCCAGACTGGAATAAGCTCCCTCCAGAGGTGGCGCAATTGCCTACCCTAGAGATGTTTAAGAGGAGACCGGATGGTTACCTTGCTGGGGTCACTTGACCCCAGTTGTCTTTCCTGCTTGGTGCAACGGGGCTGAACCTAATGATCTTCCTAGGTCCCTTTCAGCCTATATTCTATGAATATGGCACAGGCAGCACCGGGTGCCAGGCTGCTGGAGCTGAGCTGCGCTGCCCTGCACTGCACGGAGGGGCAGTGCCAGGAGGCCCCGAACACCCCAACAGCTGCTGCTGCTCCCAGTGAGCTGTGGGCCATGTGGGGAGGCTGGGGCCATAGCGGGGGAAGCTTTGGGCCCTGCAGGGGAGGGCCCTGGCCTGGTGGGAGGGGAAGCTATGGGCCCTGCAAGGGGGACTGTGGCCCTTCGGGAGGGGGCAGTCCACGTGCTCTATGGGGGGGCCATGTCCTGTTGGGGCAGGGGACCCACATTTCCTGAGCAGTCCCCCATATAGTCCCCCCCACACCCACAGTCCCCCCACAATCCCTCACACCTACTTGCTGCGGTGGGTTGAGGATGCAGAGAACTCTCAGTTAAGGCTGCTTCAGCAGTCCAGCTGGCACAAGGGGCAGTGTCCCCAGATACCAATTGGCCAGGCCCCAGAAGCTCCTGTATATCTGTCTATTCACTGATCGTGGTCTCTAAGGCTCACCCAACTAACTAGTAGCTCCTTTCCATGGGGGGCTAATGGATGAAAGGAACAACTGATTTTCTGGGACAGCTAAGGGAAAAAACAGGATAGGAGTGACGTGGGGGTCAAAGGGTAAAAATGTGAAACTTAGTTCTCCAGAGGGGGACACAGAGCAGAGCCCCCCGGGCCGCATCCACCAGTCATCCAAGGAACCGGTGGACACTGCCCATTGGTGCTCTGCCTAGAAACGTGCACGACCAAGTGAGAGGAAAGCAGCCCTGCGGTCCCCAGGCACCTTCCTGGCTAGAGCCTCCTTTCTGTTCATATACAGGGCCTACTTGGTCAGAGCCAGGAGGAGGTTGTCATGTGTGTCAGGGTCTCCCTCTGCCTGCAGAAGGGGCAGGAGGCCCCTGAGAGGAAGTAGCCCTGAGCTGCTTGCCAGAGCAGGTGTTTACACTGCTGGGGCCAGCACTGGTGTTGGCCCCAGGCTCTAGCTCCCCCTGGCTGCAGATCCGGAAGGATCTGGGCAGGGTTATTTTGCCCCAAGTGACCTAACATGCCCCACACCAAAGTGCATGTCTGGGCACGTGCCCTGAGGCAAAAATCCATGGCTCAAATTTGTGCTGCTCCTATTTGAGCTGCTGCAAGCACACGTGCCTGCACATGTGGACGTGCCCTATGACTCTGGAAACTGGGTCTCAAGTCTTCAGCCTGTAATGCCTGTGTGTTAATCTGACCCTGTGTGTATCATTGCATTGTTTTGTATATTTCAGTTTATTTTTAGTGACCTTTGTTTCTTACGACTAAGCTGCATATAATGTATGTAGTTTTTACTTTAGCATGATTTCTGAACAAATGTGTGTTTGCATTAATATTGTGTATGTGACAGTGGTTAAAAAGATTCTTTTTACTGTTCTGAAGACCAACACATGACCATTCATAAGCTCTGAGGAAGAGGAAGAAATACTTTGTGGAGAGATTTATGAAACATCTGGCAAAAAAATCAACATTTAAAAAAATAATGAAAGCAGATAAAGGGTTAGTTCTGGTTGGGCAAACTCCTTCTTAAGTTTTTTCCCCTTGCAGGACAGAACGCTTTTGTTTTAGTCTCTCCTTCACACCCCCTTGAGTCTCTTCAGTCCTTGGTTTAGTTTGCCATTGATGTCGTCTTTCAGCATACCCTGGATAGATCATGTAGCTTACATTTACCTAAACATTTTGTGAAATCTTCCCTTCTCTGGTCTCTGTCTGAATTTGAGTTGCTGCTATGAATTTGAGTTCCTGCTATATATTATTTCTAACTATATGAAAAAGTTCTAATTTAGAGTGGGTGTAGGAAGTTGCCGACTAGGGTATATAATTACATTAGTACCAGATGTTCTTTTCACATATGATTTCACCCACACACCTCGTATTTTCACTGTGAAGAAAGGGACATTCTTGTAGAAGCGTGGCCCTCAAAATGCAGTGCAAAATTTAAGCTGTTACTTGATGTGTTGTTGTGTTTTTTAAACATTGAGCCAATAAATGTGAAGCACGTAGAGTCGATTTCTTTGATTGTTGTGTGTAAAGTATCTTTCTTTCTCTAGGCACGTGTCCAAAGGCAAAGTTTAAAATTGTTGCATGTGCTAAAATTAAGGCTTGTCGACTGTTTAGTTTTACTGTTGGACATCCACTCTTGCAGGATCTCCTCCGTTTTGAGCAAGCTAATTTGCAGCAACTACATTTAGTGCCTGCTTTCCCCATAAAAACGTGTGGTGTATCATATTTGAAAGTTTTAGTAACGGAGAGCGTTTTCCTAGCATTCACATAGAGTAGGAACAAAAGGAAAAGTCAGTTGCAGCTAAAAAATTGTAAAATCAAGCTTTGGACTATAAACAGTGAATTAGCCCCTGCAAAGCTGAATAAGTCCCTTCCTTAACTTGTTTTTGGCCATTTTGTATTAGTATTTAATGATACCACTGAAGTCATGCTGAGCTCATTCAGAGCCCCGTTGTGCCAAGAGTAAACTTGCTCAAGAAGTGAAAGGAGGAAAACAAGTTAAATTTTATTTTTCCCCCCACACTATCAACAATTTTCTCAAAATATTGAACTAGGAAAATGTCAGTGAACTCTAGTAGGCACTCAAAAGCTAGTAACTGCTCCAAAAGAGCTTGCAGAGGGAAAGGATGGTTAATCACTAATAAAAAATAAATACATGGAGTGTGAGACAAAGGCATGATGCTAGGTAGGATAAACCTTTTAAAGGAACATTGGCCCTTATACTTCAAGATGTTCTAACCACAAACTGCCGAATACTAAGAAGAAACCTTCCCCCATATGAAAGGTGGCAGATATTTGTCTATGACACCTGTTACTGCAGCTTCCAATTTTATAATCTGAGTCTAGTACTAGTTCCTGTTGGAGCTAGAATGCCAAAATGATCCAGTCCCATCATTTCTGTGCCTTGGCAACATCCAGCGGAAACTTAAAACTCTACCTCCTCATTATTTAAAATGTGCTTTTCCCACATATTAAATGTATTGTTCTTCTCTTGTATCAGAGTTTACCAAAAATGAAGCACATTCTTCTAGGTTAGGGGAAATGCAGACAAATGTTTCCTCAAAGATAAGGAAATAGACATGAAAGATGTATAGACTTTTGATGATTCATTGTGTGACTATCCATGGCTTACTGGTTGGTTTAATCTCACTAAGCGAGGTTGCTTTTCAAGGTGGGCAATGCTGTTGTATCTGCGCTCTATTCCACTCACTTTTTCAAGCTGATGGTTGGGAATTATTGATGCTACTTGTAAGTACTGATATCAACAGCTTGAAGGCTTGCAGGTGGCACCATGCTTGATGTGTTCACACATGTAGGCTCTGTCACCTTCTTACGTTGAAATATCAACCTGTATCTGCTAAAATGGTACAGTTATTGAAATTGAGATCCATGATGAAACTAAAAGCACAAGAGTCCCAACTGTTTAGAGCAGTGGTGCTCAACCTTTTAGCCCTGCAGGCCAATGGGTGGGGAGGGGCTCGTGCATGGGCCCCAGCACTGCCCCCTGATGTCAGAATTGGTCTCCAGGGGCCTGGCACCTCCTCTTCCCCCCCTAAATGTCATGGGATTCAGTCCTAGGGGGTCCTGCATCACCCCTTCCTGCCCCAGTGCACCAGAATTGGTCCCTGGAGGCCTGGCCTCACCCCTGTGTACCAGGCTGGGGCCCTGGGACTGGGGCCTCTGGGGGTACTGCCCACTCCTTCCCCAGCATTCCAGGATCAGGCTACCAGGTCCTTGTGCTGCCCCTGCCCAACGCTGTGTGCTGGGATCAGGTGCCAGATCCAGTGCACAGGGCCCAGGACTCCCCATGGGACTAGAAAGTTGGCAGTGGGAGTGCTACCACTCCCCCGCTGCCAAATTTCCAGACCCATGGGGAATCCCACAGGGCAAATGACACAAGGCAGCAGGCCAAAGGTTGAGTACTCCTGGCTTAGAGTTTAAATTAACAAATGCCTGGTAACTACTGACGTGACAGGTTGCGGACTAGGTGCTTGCCTATATTTCAGGATGAGCATTTTGACGTCTGATTGAACTCTTATATTCAATGGGAGATTCACATATCTGTGCAGGGCATTTATAGTGGCTCATATGGATACCTTTTTTTTAAGGCCCAAAAGCTGAGTCTGAATAAATGCCAGGTCAAGCACATAGTGTATTTAAACTAGGGTAAGCCAATTAAAGACACCAAAAACGTGCCTTGGGCACAAAGAAATCAGTAAGTCTGAGTTTGGAGCTTGATTCCAGAGCTATGGTTTCTGACACCTTGGCAAGATGAGGCTACACCTGTGAACTAGAAGAGTCTTCTGCTTTTGCAAGTGTAAAACGTGATGTAAGCAAAATGGATGAGGAAAAGCTATTGTAGGTCTCTATATATTGATTTTCATGGTGATGAATTAACAGACTCCAGAAGTCTAAGGTCATCTCTGGCTCCTTGGAAACTGGCATAGTGTGCTTTAGAATTATTTTGTAGTCTCCTGAGAGTTGTTGGGGAAAAATACGTATCTATATGAAATGGCTAACAGCTGTTTTTCCCTTAGTTTCAGGACATGAGGTTCTTAATTATTGATTTTGTTTTATAACAGAGTTGATCTTTGGAATGCCAGTAACTTGAAGTTTGGAGACGAGTTCCTAGGAGAACTGAGACTTCCTTTAAAATTCCTCCGGCAATCCAGCTCATATGAAGCATGGTATTTTATATTTGCTTTACTTTATGGAGCATAGAAACTGAACTGTTTCTAGTAAAGCACATGCTGTCTGTGTACTAAAAAAATTACTATTGCAATACAATAAATTTAATTTGTGTTCATATTTTCTTCTGGTTTCAAAAAAAGAAATGCCCAAGCCAAAATTTTCAGTTATCAAGCTATCAAGACAGAAACACATAATGCATAGGTTTGACAGTATGATTTGAGATTTTGGCTTGGGATTGTGTACATGTATGTAAACCAGGGGAGAATTTTAATGTACTGAATTTAATGATGTTATGCACTGTATTCAGCAGCAGAGACTTCGTTTTATTGCTATATCAGATGTAATATTGTCTGTGAAACTTTGTGATCAGATCTTTCTGTAAAATGACCTGGGGATCTTTGTGGGAAACCTAATTCAGAACTTCAAAAAGTCACTACTTTTAGGAATGCCATGTGTGTTCTCTACAATAGATTATGTATATGTATATATGTATATATATATATATACATTTATAGCATTTAAACATATATTTTCTGTTTCAAGAGAAACTTTTTATTTTGTTTGTCAGGTATTTTCTGCAGCCCAGAGACAATGGCAACAAGTCACTGAAAACTGATGATCTTGGTTCCTTAAGGTTAAATGTGGTTTACACTGAAGATCATGTGTTTTCCTCAGACTATTACAACCCACTTAGAGACCTCCTGTTAAAATCTGCAGATGTTGAGGTAAACTTTGCTCATTGCTGCATGCTATTTTACCTATTTGCCCTCAAAGACCCATAAATATTTCTCATTTTACAATTGTGGGTATCATAAGTGAACTTACAGCGTTCCCACTGCTTGTTTTGCCACACGAGATTCGAAGCTGTGTAGTTTTCATGCTTGTTTTTGGTCCAGACAGAAAAAGATCACCTTCATGCACTGATGGTAAGTAAAGACACACCCAGTAGTAACAGTGATTATGAGCCCACTTGCTCTGTAGAGCTTTTTCTAATTCTACATTTGAAAAGGCAAAATAAACTTGTGTTCAAATGACTAGTTTCATTAACTGTGAAGGAACATGCTTGCGTGTATATATAGGAATTCTTATTTTGTGTGGGTTTTTTCATACTAATTTTTTAAAATGTTGAATGGACTCAGCCACCTTTCTGTTCAAATGGTACAAAATATTTTTAGCAGTTATACTAGTTCATCTTTTCCAAGAGAAAACTCTTTCATTTGACAGCAGTTAAAATGTAGACAAAGATTTAGATTTAATCCTTAGTATTTCACAAGCAGCTGTGATAGTCATGGAAATGAACTAACAATAGAGATAGGGGGAAAAAAAGGGACTGTATTGTAATCATTTTTAAATTGCTGCCCTCTTGTGATCAAAACTTACAACAAAAAGTAACTGAAAATTAACATGTAGTCCTCTCTCTCTCAGATATATTTATGTAACTGGTTACTGCCATTTAATATGTATGGCTCTATTAAGGAGTTTGTGAGAGAGGAAGTTTGTCAATAAGGGATGGTAGTTATTGAAACACATCACAAAGTTTTTGTTTTTCTCCACTGTTCAGCCTGTTTCAGCATCTGCTGCACATGTGTTGGGTGAAGTTTGCAGAGAAAAACAGGAAGCAGCCATACCTTTGGTCAGGCTTTTTTTACACTATGGCAGAATAGTACCTTTCATCAGTGCAATTGCAAATGCTGAAGTGAAGAGGACTCAGTAAGTACAAACAAAAGGCATATTAATATTGCGTGCACACAATAAAATACTACTTGCTGCCAGAATTCACTCTGTTTATGAAAGCATTTTAAAAACTTTCATTATTTATTATTTGCATTGTAGTAGTAGTAGTTACAGGCCCTAGTCAAGAACCTGGGGCACTTTGTATAATTATGTGCAGCTGTAACAAAAAGATGACTCCTGCCTTGAAGAACCAGGTTAGTTAAAGTGTCACTAGAACTTCCTGTAATCCCCTGCAAAGGTACCTCATGCTGCTTCTTAGAACTTTCCTTTTCCATGATGCATATGTCAAAGACTGGACATCTGTTAGGTCACTTACTTTTAGCTTGTAGGCTCTATGGAGGAAGGACCGTCACTTTGTCCAGTGCATGTACAGCATCTCACCTTTGAGGTCTTGGTCCCTGACTTGGCAATTATAATAATTCTGAAATCCTGCAGTGTTCTGTGTTGTTGGTTGTAGCTGTGCTGGTCTAAGGACATAGGCGGACAAGGTTTCATAGTTGGTAGGGTCAGAAGGGACCGGAGCAGATTATCAAGTTGGACAGGAAAGAATGCTGGGGTCAAACGACCCCGGCGAGGTGTTCATCCAACCTCTTCTTAAAGACCCCCAGGGTAGGAGCCAGCACCACATCCCTTGGAAGTTGGTTCCAGATCCTAGCCGCCCTGACTGAAGTAGCGCCTCCTGATATCTAGCCTAAATCTACAATCTGCCAGCTTGTGACTGTTATTTTTTGTCACTCCTGGTAGTGCTCGGGGGAACAGGGACTCTCCCAATGCCTGCTGGTTCCCCCCTGACTAGTTTGTAACAGACCGCTAGATGCCCCCTCAGCCATCTCTTATGGAGGCTGAACAGGTTCAGGTCCCTTAACCTCTCCTCATAGGACCTGCCCTGCTGACCCCGATCATGCGGGGGGCCCTCCTTTGGACCCTCTCCATGTTGTCCACATACCTTCTGAAGTGTAGCGCCCAGAACTGGACGCAGTACTCCAACTGTGGCCTGACCAGTGTCGCATAGAGGGGGAGGATCACCTCCTTGGACCTGCTGAGATGCACCTGTGGATGCATGACAAGGTATGGTTAGCCTTCCTGACCATGTCCCCACACTGTCGGCCCTTGTTCATTTTGGCATCAATAATGATTCCAAGATCCTTTTCTGCCTCTGCACTGACGAGAAGGGAGTTCCCCAGTGTGTAGATATGCTGCTGGTTCTTCCTCTCCAGGTGCTGTACATTGCACTTGTCAGTGTGGAAACCCATCCTGTTCTCATCTGCCCACCCCTGTAACCTGTCTAGGTCCGATTGCAGCCTGTTCCTCCCTTCTAGCGTGCCCACTTCTCCCCACATCTTAGTGTCGTCTGCGAATTTGAGCAGGGTGCTTTTTACACCCTCGTCCAAGTTGCTGATAAAGATTTTGAACAGTGCGGGCCCAAGGACCGAGCCCTGGGGGACCCCACTGCCCACATGCCTCCAGGTCGAATAAGACCCGTCCACCACCACTCTCTGGGTGTGGCCCTCCAGCCAGTTAGCGACCCATTTAACTGTGTAGGTGTCAACGCCACAGTCCCCTAGTTTTTTAATGAGAATGGGGTGAGAGACAGTGTCGAAGGCCTTCCTGAAGTCCAGAAAGACTACTTCCACTGCTACCCCTGCGTCTAAGGATTTTGTGACCTGGTCATAGAAGGCCACCAGGTTGGTCTGACAGGACCTGCCTCTAATGAACCCATGTTGGTTGCCCCTAAGCATAATCCCCCCCTGCTGGCCCCTCGCGGACATGTGCCAGGATAACTCTCTCAAAAAGCTTAGGGTTTTTAACCTCTCAAAAGGTTCTTTGGGTAGATGCGATGTCTTTTATTAGACCAACTAAATAGTTAGACAAATTGTTCTTTGCAAGCTTTCAGGCACAAACACCCTTCTTCAGGCATAAGGAAAATCTGTTGGTGCTTATGGCACACTGTGGGCACATTATAACTTGCCTGCAATCTGATAAACCCAGGTAACCTGTCTGCATTTTACCAGCTACATTTTATCACCTTCTCCCCTTTCCCTCTCCCTCCCTCCAAATGCCTTTTCATACTTATTGTTTCCCATTCCCTTTGAACCTCACTGACATGCGTTTGCATTTCCACAGACCTGTATTTTGCATTTTGGCTTCTATTCTACCCAAGAAAGTACACAAACACCAACAGACTTTTCCTATGCCTGAAGGAGGGCATTTGTGCCCAAAAGCATGCAAAGAACAATTTTTCCAACTATTTAGTTAGTCTAATAAAAGATATCACATCTACCCAAAGAACCTTGTTTTCCTACAGTGTTCTCAGCAGTTCACGTAAAATCAGTTCAGCTTTGCAGGATTTTAAAGAACCGTCTCTTTCAGAATAAAAGTATTTGCTGAACTTTGTATGAGGAACAAAAGCCATTTTCTCTCTAATCATATCGATACTGAAATTTAAGGCATCTTGGGGCATTCATTTTTCCAAATGGAGGACTGAGCAGCAAAGGACTAAGTTGATTGTGGCACTTGTGGAAAATAGGTTCACTCTTTTTTACCAGTCACTTCTGAATTCCTATCTTGAATAATGGTCTGCTGCTAGATTTTCATGGTAGTATGTCATATCCAGACCATGTAGATTATACCTACGTACAGATGGTCAGAAAGACCAAGGCTTAATCAGTTCAATCTTTGCAGGTTTCTCTGAGCTGCATAGACTTAACCGATAAGCAAGTGAACACGTATTAACTTTTGTTTCCAGAAATGCAGTCATATGCCTGCAGTGGCCCAGGCCAGAAGTCACAGGATGCTAGAGCATGCCTCCCTGCTGGGCTGGAGCAGACAGGTTGGGCCAAGACTAGCCTGCGCACCCTGCAAGGGAGTGGAGGGGCTTGCAGGGGAGGTGCAAAGCATCCTGGGATGCTGGGGGACTGTGAGTTCACTTGAATCTGAAAGGGACCTGGGACAGAAGTTCAGTAAACCAATTTCATCTAAATCCATGAAGTCTGATACTACATCCATCCAAGTTTATCTTAAACTCGTTTTTGCCAGTTTGAAAGTGGTTTATGTGCACTGAACTTCTGTTGTGTTACAGATTTGAACCAATTTCTGATCACTTCTACCTGTTTATGTGTAATTTCTATCTCTAGCCTCTGAGAGGAAGTTATAGCTCTTTGATGGTTGCTTTTGTACAGACAGTAGATGGTCTTGATCCATTGCCTTGGAGATTCTGATTTAAGGTAGCAATCACCACAGACAGTACAAAGTTAAGATTTTGAGTGAGCAGACATTTCAGAGAAGCCAGAGACTGAAATACTCTCTCTCCTGTAGGTATAGTCCTTCCAAGCTGTGGGTGGGTTTGAGGTACCAATGTATGGACACTGAGGAAGTTTGCTTTTCTCAATCTGTCATTTACCTGTTCAAGAGGCAGATGGAGCATTCATTTTCAAAACTAACAAAAAAACAAATCAAAACCCCTGAACAATTAAGTTGGAAAAGTAGCTCATCATAAACTTCCTTTCTATAAATGGTTGCTATTACAGTAACGTATCAGAAGCTGAATAGATGTGTTATTGTGTGTGAGAGAGTAAGCAAGAGACTACAGGCCCTATTTTGCATGTCACATGCAGGTATCGTTTAAGTAATTTAGATGTAGAAGAAGTAGTTGGATGTGCAAATACATAATTGGTTTAAATTGCCTTAGCAAATAATAGTGTGCAGAAAATTGACCTGAAATTATTTGCATTCTCAGAAGTCCAAGTGCAAAAAAAGAAACTCAAGAAACAACAGAATGAAAATCATGCTTTTGAAGTGGAAGTTTTAGTGGTTTCTTGCTGAATTGTTTGAATGCACATAGTGTTGTGAACTACTGTATTATTACTTTTTTTTTTTTTTTTTGAAGGGGAATGTTCTAGTTCCTGTGTATAATAAAAACCTGCTACTTTGGGAGGGTTGACAAGTCTTGTTGGGGAAAAAAACAGTTGAGCAAAGAGCCTCTCAAAAATTGTTCACAGGTTTGGGAGTGGTATTTATGGCTTCCTTCACTATTCATGATTCAACCCCAGGTGACCAGGCTGTATATCAGTGTTGCAAGCAATATATCAAAAGGGTTGTAATAAGGCCTCTACAAAGCAGAGCAGGTGCTAAGAAGCCACAAAGGGAAGGTGTAGAAAGCAGCCCCAAAAGACAAATGTAGTTATGTCTACGTAAATATTGATTTAATGTAACAATTGCTTTCTCCCATGTCCAGGAAGTCTTCCATAATCATTTTTTTTTAACAGTAAGTTTGACTTAAAAGGTGAAGATGCTTGTCTTTGGACCTGGTGCGCAAGCCAGTGTACTGCAGCTGTGCAACTAGGTTAACAAACATAGCCAATCCTCTGCTCTTTTTATGTATCCAGACCTGTAAAGGAAACTTCATCAATAATTTTTATGAAAGGTAATGGGATTCTACATGAGTCATAAGGTCCCACCCCCATGGGAATTATGGTATATGTAGCAGACAATAGGCAAATCATAGGATGAGGGTAGTTCAGCTACAAAAGGTCACTTACATAATTCAGACTGATTATTCCCTAGCCCCACAAATACTTTTGTGTGGGAAAAGCTGGCAGGTAGTGCATGACAACACAGATATTCTTCCCCCACGCAATTTTTTTTTCATTTGGATTATAAGACCCTTTTGGGCAGGGTCTGTGTCTTTACATGTGTATGTGCAGTGCAATAGGGCTTTTTCAAACTATCTTAATACAAATAAAGAATTGTTGACAAACTCTGTCCCTGACAATCTCATGTTGATTGCCTCCACTCCTCCCTCCCGTTCCAATGTGGGATTATACCAAACATAATGCATTTAATGGCAGCCTTTAGGCCACAGTCAAAGGAATATACACTTGCTCATTAAAAAGAAAAACAGCTTTTAATCACCTTTCATTGCTGCTTTTATTTCCATTCACTGGTTGTTTTGTTACAGACAGACTAAATTATAGAAAATTGTTCCTTTCCAGAGACCCAAACACCATTTTCAGAGGAAATTCATTAACTTCCAAGTGCATTGATGAGACAATGAAGCTGGCAGGGATGCATTATCTTCAAGTTACACTAAAGCCAATTATAGATGAGGTAAGAGCAAGAAAGTTTGTTTGATAAAATTTCAGCCTCAGAGGTCTTCTAGGAGCAGGTATTGTTTGCTTCTTGCCATTTTAAAATTGCTTTGTCAGGCTAGTGTTCATGTTTTTACATGAAAGCGTTGCAGCATTTATTTATCCAGTGATTCACCAAGTTCATGAACAGTCGACTAGCTTTAAAGACAGACAACAAAAATTCGTTTGAACTAGGTCTAAAAACAAATTTCCTGTCTTATAAAACCCACTGCTTATGTTCTGAGTGGGGAAAAAAGCAAAATAAAAACCTACAAAAGTCAAAACTTCACATCAGAAAGTAGCCAGAAATCCATGAGGAACACATGTCATCCTGTAGTTTTAAATGAATATGATTAATCCTAGATTACTGCATATGTGACAGCTTGCAGTGTGGCAGTGTGCTATTATCTCTCCAGTCCAGTATGGCAGTTTCTTCCATTGCTGTAATTAAACACAATTTGGACCACATACTTCCTTGTGAATGATTTAGCACTTTCTTAGTTCAGCTGTTAACTGTGATGTCACATCAAGAAATATTTTCCCTAAGACTGTTTTACAATACTTTCTCTTTGGTGCATGATGTGTTTTCTTAATTGAATTGGGAGGGGTTGAAGAAAAACCTCTTTCATGTTAGATGTAAAAAAAATATTGCAGAAAAAATATAATGGAACAGTTTGGAAAAATTAAAAATAATAAATAGCTTACATGTGATGTTTTACCAAAAGAAAAAAAAATCTAATATAAAGTTTGGATACTGCTCTTTACCCAAGATAACTACCTTTTTAAGTCATCTGTTACAGGATTTTTACCTTCAGAGGATAAACTAATATATTAATTGTTCATTATGTGTTTTATTTTAGATCTGCCAGGTCCATAAGCCTTGTGAAATTGATCCTGTGAAATTAAAAGATGGTGAAAATTTGGAAAATAACAGGGTAGGCATGTGATAGTTGATGTTCTTTCTCACTGGGGTCCTCAAACATTTGGAGTTGCCAGGGAGGCTTTCATACTTTGGTTAACACTGGACACTTTTAATCTGATAGAAATGCATGTGACTGTATTGTATATCAGCTCCATGGTTAGCTATAAGATGCAGCGCTGAAATCTTTTTTTTCCTCCATGTCTTGTGTCCTGTCTGAGATTGTTGATTATGGGTATGTAGCAGGATTTGCAGATCCATTAGAATCTGACAGGGCTGTGTTGTGAGTGCTTCTCCTATGACTGTTATAGCAGTTGTGATATTCTAAGATGCGATATTTATAAAATGTAAAACAAGCAAAGAAGTACATAGCTTGTTGGTATACCACTTGACTAAATGGATGTGCAGTGTAACAGTAGAAGAATGGACCCCTTAACCAATGGTTCCAGCAAAATAATTATGATTTTGTAAAATAAAATTACATGCTTTTCAGAATACAGTTTTACTTGATATCCACATTTGTGAGTAGTAATAACACTGTACTTTCAGCCCTCTACTTTGTGGTATGCCTGATCAAGGAGCGTATCCACTTCAGATTGGTCTGTCTTCTGTTACCAAAAAAAATGCATATGCCAGTAGAAAAATGGAGTAGCCTTGCTTTTTATGGAAGGAAAACAATTCATTTAAAAAAAAATCAATTTAATGCACATGTTCACTGTTTCAGGAAAATCTGAGGCAGTACGTTGACCGCATTTTTACTGTTATTACGAAATCTGGTGTAAGCTGTCCTACGGTGATGTGTGATATTTTCTTTTCACTGAGAGAATCAGCTGCCAAACGTTTTCAAGGTGAGTTTCAGTCTAGCTTTTCAAGCTTTACTTTAGATGATTTTCAAGAATTGTTATTTACTGTCACAGGTGGAAGTGATTAAAAATACATTTCACACTTGATGCCATTTAGGGTGCGTGCAGCCGTAAGGTATTTTCCTCAATGTACAAATAGCAAGACTTTTAATGATGTACCAGTTCTTCCTTCAGTGTTGTTCTGCTCTGAAACATGATGTGGTAAAATGGCCAGTAGTGATGCATACTTGTGTAGCAGCTGCTTTCAGGGACAAATAATTTTGAAACAGCTAGTTCTGGAAACTCATAAAATCTGACACTTCAGCTGCATTCTTTTCTATTCCTACATGAACCTGTAATAAAAGCCAAATTTTAAATTCCTGACAGTACAAGCCCAACAGTAGATTTGCACAGCTGTAGCTCGGTAAATTTTGTTGATGAGATGCAAAAAGAAATGGAATCTATTCCACTCTTCCCTCTGCAGGAGCAAACAGAACATAAAGCCAAACCCCTTTATTTTTTTCACTAAAGTAGACAAATCTGACTGCATGTGTACAAAGAGCAGATCCTTTGCATAAGTGTGCTATTTTTACATAGTCACTTTCGGAATAGAAAAATCTTCAACAACATTTCATTGATTATCATATTATGCTCTTTATCCATTCAGTGCACTATTATTAAGTTTGTGCTAAGTGCCCCACATTATTATTGAGAGGCAGTCTCTGCACTGAACTGCTTATGATCTATGAAAATTATCCATATACTTTGGCTGATTAATTCAGATATCACATTTCAATATGACTTTCCTGCACAAGGAGACTGGTTTTCCATAGACAATCCATGTCATAAATCCTGCATTCTCATATAGGGAGGTAGCCTTCACCTTGGTTTCTTTCATTGCTTTATCAACAGCTGATATTTGACTCCAAATGTCCTCCTTTATCTGTTTATCCCATAATTTATGAATAAATAGATAGATATGTACATACTAGCTATCTGAAGGCATTTCTGACATTAGCACTGAAAGTTCTCTGTAAATTATCTATTGAGATAATGAGTAGGATTGTCTCTGTTATAGGTGACCTAGATGTAAGGTACACAGCTGTTAGCAGCTTTATTTTCCTGAGGTTCTTTGCTCCTGCAATTCTTTCCCCAAATCTCTTTCAACTTACACCACACCATCCAGTAAGTACTGTATTTACTTATCTAGGTATTTATGTAGACCTTTTGCCATAGGAAGAGCCTCTGCCATGTATTCTATTAATTGCTTATTTACAGCCTTCAGGAGGAACAGCTTGATATAGTCTAGAAGTTTGTTATATATTTGTTTTGCATATGAGTAGATTATGTTGGGTGACTGGATATGTGAAAAGCTTGTGTGAAAAGCTTGGAGTTTGAAATTAGGTTTTTGTTTAGTTTTGAATGTGGTAAGCCCTGTGGTCATTCTCATCTCTCATGGGGGTAATTTCTGTAGTTTGTCCAGCTCCAGTAAAGGTTCCTGTTTTAGGCCACGTCTATACAACAAAGATGACATTGGCTAGAGGGTATGGTTTTATCATGTACCCTAGCCAACTTAACTATGCTGGGTGCATCTACACAAGATACTACATCGCTGTAGCAGTGAGTTATGGCAATACAGCTCATTGCTACGGTGACATAGCATCAGTGGGCATGAACCGTGATGCTGATGCTACTGCGCAGTAGCAACGAGCTAATGTGCAGTAGGGTCAGAAATGACCTGTGCATCCCTGGGACTGTGCAGTAATGCCAGTTACTACATAATCATTTAGTACTAAGGCAAGCTAAAGCAAGTACTAAATGACTGCGCAGTAACAACTATGAAGTCAGGCGCATGTGTAGACGTACCCACTGGCAACTTCACTATGTGGACACAGATGCACCAATGGAAGAGTGGGGTTTTTGTGGCTTAGCTTATGTTGTTTGGGAACCTACTTTGGAAGAAGCTTCTTACTATAAACTAGCCCTTAGGCACTGTTTAGCTTCTTCCTGTTAGCCAGCAGGTTCAGGGTCCTGTAACATATGCAAGATTGTGTTTTTTGCTGGTGTTAAGCTCTGGCAAGCAAAAGATTCATGTGTAAAATGAAGGGGTCACCGTTCTGTCAAGTGCTACACAAGCTGAAATTGTACTGCTTCATTCTTTGCTTGGTTGTACCAAAACAGGGGTTTCAACATGTTAGTTGCCTTATAAATAAAATGTACTTCATTTTTATGCACAACTCTCCCCCTCCATTTAATAAGTTACATCACAGTTTGTGCATGGGCTGGATATTAGCACATAGCCCTGTGGCCAGACTCCTCTTAATTTAAGCATGGTCTACAGTATGCCTAATTAATTCTCAGCTGCTGATGAGAGGGTAGCTCCGCTCCATTTTCAGTTGTCCTACATCAGTATTGAATTAGGCAGTACTGGGTGGCATCTTAGAGAGTAGCATTTACCAAAGTAGGTTCCCTATGAGAACTCATGCTTCTCTGAACCCGTCAGTCTCCATACCACATGTTCTGCCTGACTCGCACACCTAATGACCTCTGCCCTCAATATTGGATTATTTCAAAAGCATTCTGAGATGCTTTGAAAATGAAATCCCAGAATCCTTAATTTTTACTGTTTTTGTAAAAAAAACCCAAAACAATCGGTTCTAAATGTTCACTTTGAGGTATGGAAACTTACCAGCTCTTCAGAAGAACCAAGGGCTGTGAAGCATCTGTATGATACAAAGAGTGTGCATTGGCACATCTTTAAATTTATGTTAATATTTATTTAAGAGGAATAGAAACTATCCTATGAGTGTGGGGTTTTTTCTGTCCTTTGTCTTAAATACCACTATTCTCCCCTTCATAGGATCCTCAGACCTCTAGGACTTTGACGCTCATCTCTAAGACCATACAAACACTGGGCAGTTTATCCAAATCTAAATCTGTAAGCGTTTCAGTTTCTCTCTGAGTTATGGTTATTGATGGAAGTCTATATTAATTTCCTTTTTTTTCCTTTAAGCAAATGGTTGCATCATTGTTGCAATTAAACATTTGGAGTGATTGTATAGGGCTGAACTTGAACAAGCTGGTATTCAGTAAGGCTAGAGCAGTGATGCTTGACTTTTTTGGCTAGTGGGCTGGCTGAGCAGTACCCAGTCCTTTAGTGGGCAGGTTTCTGTCTGGTGGATCCAATCTGATGGCTGGAGTGGGTGCTGCAGGGACCCATCTGCCTGTGTGCAGAGGGACAAGAACAGCCAGGCCCAATCCAGGTTCTTAGGGGCCGGGGGTGGTGGGGAGAAGGGAAGAGGTGTGGTCCCAACCAGGCATGGCAGGGAAGGGAGCATGGCTGTGCTGGGCAGGGTCTGTATGGGGCTTGGGATTTGGCAGTAGATAGGGGTCACAATATTAATTACTATCATTCCCAGCTGCCAAATTTCCTGACCCTTAGAGAGCTCCACAGGCTGCATTTGGCCTGGAGGCTGGAGGTTGAGCACCCGTGGGCTAGACATGACTTAACCTACTTATTTATTAACTGATGGCAAAAACTACGGTTATTTTCATATGAACTGTGTGTTAATAAAAAAAAGTCATATATTCCTAGAGCAGAGTCTTATTCTGAGCCTTTGCTTCAAATATTTTTGGGGAAAATGTAGTGTTTAAGGTTATTAGCCCTTGGAAAACAAGGTATAGCACTAAGTAGTTGTTCTGCAGGATTTTCTGCACTGCCTCAGTGGTATATTTAAATTCTAAGCTCAAGAAACCATCACTAATGGTGAAAACTAGTGTACTTTGCATGTCTATCCAGTTATGCCAGTTAGTGGTGATAGTGGATGGTGGTTTTGCTATGGACATCTCTCCACTAGTAATCAAATAGTTATCAGGTGATGGCTTTTCAGTCATTCCTGACTAGTCTGGATTCACTGAACAACCTTTTATGAGAATTTTAGAGGTTTACAAATCCCTCGATCCCATCAGATCCCAGGGTTTCTGGTAGTTTTGCCTGTTTATTTTGTGAACATGATCAGAAAGAAGATTTGAAGCTTGTACAGAATGCAAATAGTAAATAGAGTGAATTAAGTCAGCATTTGGAATGCTAACTTGGACTTTTGCAGTAGTATAGCTTACTTTTGTCTAAGATGGTGATCTTCAACCTATGGTCTGTGAAAGATGACAATAAAAAAAAATGTGAATACCCACACTTACAATTCAAAGGGCTCCACACCTCCATTCAAAGTTTTTTAGGGGTCTGCAAATGAAAAAAGATTGAAAACCACTGGCCTAAGAGGTTCCTGAGAAGTACAGAATGTGCATCCAAGCAGCTTGAGAGTAGCTTCAAACTCTTTTTCTTTTTGAATATAGTGAAAAATGGTGATTGTTTCACTCTTATTTTCTTCTGCTGTTGGCACTGTAGTTATGGATAGTACCATATGATGTATTGACTGTTGGTTCCATTTCAGGCCAGCTTCAAGGAGTCCTACATGGCTATTTTTTATGACTATTTTAATGAACAAAAATATGCAGATGCGGTAAAGAATGTAAGTAAATATAAGTCAATCCATAGACTATTTTATTAGGTTATTGAAGCTGATATTTAGAATCATAAACGTTATGTACTTACTGTTAGAATTGGTGTTCCTAAAAATCAATGTATAAAAGTCAGTTTGCTGTAGCTTACGTATTAATATATGTGCACATTGTGTTCCCTGCAAACTGTACTGAGCACAATCTGGTCCAAGAGGAAATAAAGGATGGTGAGTAATCAAGAAAAGCATAAAGAAGAGATAAGAGTACATGTGTGTACATTTTGCAGTTAGGAACATTCTTCCATTTGTTGTTTTTAATTTGCAGGCCAGGAAACCTTTGCAGATTCCCACATTATGTGCTGTAGTCTTTTTTTTTTTTTTTTAATGCTATCGCAATAATATTTGTATGAAACAGTAAATTCTGGCTTATGTTGCTGAATTACTTTATCTGCACACTTTCTCCATTTTCAAGTTCCTAGATTTGATTTCATCTTCTGGAAGGAGAGACCACAAGAGTATAGAGCAACCCATACTTCTTAAAGAAGGGTAAGAACATCTTCAGATTAGAAATATTTCTATTTCTACTTTTTTAATGCCATTGTGAGGCACCAGTTCTTCCTTGACCCCCTGACTCCATTGTTGTATTGCTATCTTTGCCTTTGCGGCTGCTAGCTTATGTTAACATCCGTTCATGTGTTTTAATATTTTAATTTCATATGTGTTATAAAATCTGTGTGCAAAAGCATCAGTGGAATTTAATTACCATGGTTAGTGCTGGATAAATATGAACCAAATCCCTCATTTAAAATAAAGTTAATGTTGTGACTCCCATCACTAAAAAGTAAATAAGATTAGGTTTGTAATTGAATTGCTGACGACTATTAAATATAGAAAGGTGACTACCACTTCTGGTTGGTTTAAACAGCTCATATCACACGTGTGACAAAGTAGTATCCCTAGAAGTCAGCTTCTCCATTTTAAGTCTGTACATTATAATTCTTTTGCTTTTGAAAATAACTGTATGATTTGTAACTTTTCCCCCTCTCATAAACTTGACCTTTCTGCCTCTATCTTTCTTTTGCTCCTGTCTGATTTTTTTCTGTCTTTTCTTGTTCGGCCTGCTGGCTGCTGTTGTAAAGGACTCTTAAACTAACAGTAAAGAAAGTTGATGGTAATAGTTCATGCAGGTAAGATGGTAGGGACAGATGGTACTTTGCTGTAGTTACCTGCCTGACAGCATCTCCTTCCTCCATAGCTACAGACATATCTGACTTACCTTGTGAAAGACGTTTTCTTTGTTCCGTAATTCTGAAGTGCCAATGTGCAACCGACATTTGTCATATACTGCTTAATAGTGTAGAACTCCTTAAAAGAAAACAAGGAAACAAGGAAGTTGCTGAACATAGAGAATAAAAGTGCCTTTTACCTGTAGGCAGAGGCTCTGGCTTCTGGAATTCACTTAATATTCAGTGCACAAATTCCTAAGACCTTATTGCAAGTGAGTAAGATGTCAAAATACATTTTTCTAAGCACTTCAGTAGCATACAAGTAAATTGTTCTCAAGGTTAAGGTATCAACTTCAGCTGTTTAATTTCCCCACCCTGTCACATAATTGTCATGCTTTACCTTTTTGTAACCAAACCTCTCTTGGACTCCCTTAGTTTGATTCTTTTCCAGAACAATTGCTTGGCTGGTCAGTGGAGTTCGTTTGCCTTTACTGTGCTTTTTGTTTTGTTGGCTTAGTCTACTTTTTATCAAAAGAAAAAAGATCTCTATGTATGGGATGTGCACATTCAAATGGACATGCAGTACCCCAGTGAGGTAACTGCCAGCTTGCTCTTTGCTGTCTCTGAGCATGTTATCACTGCTTAACAAATAGTTGTCTGATTCTTTCCAAACGGAAAAGAATTGGAATTGTTCATTCCTATCCTCGTGTGCCAGAAAGATATTCACACCCACACTCCCAAACAAAGCTGAAATAGATTCTAATTCAAATCTACCACAAAAAGGGAAGAACGATAAGTCTCTTCAGCCAACTCAACTGGAAATGAGTTTGATCTCAGAATGCTTTTCTCTTGTTTCTTGCCCATTTGTTCAGACCAACAGCCCAAATGTTACACAAGTATGAGGAACAAGAAAATCCTTTAAATTGTTCTTAAAATTGCTTGTGGTGCTTGTTGCTTTTCACCTGCTTACCCAGGAAATAAAAACACAAGACATTTATAGATGTACCTTTTTGTCCCACAATGCGCCAGAGATCCACTGCTTCAGAATAGACTCGATTTAATCAAGTCTGCTCTGCATGCAAGCTGATGCAAACTGCGCAGCACCATATACAGTTGTATAAGCAGTGAAATGCACCTCCGCACGCAGAAAATGGCAGCGGCACTCTTTTGAACTAAAACATCTTCTATGTGTGTTAGTTCAAAAGTGTGCCCACCGCCATGTTCTCAGCATCGATGCACATTTTGCTGCTTATACAACTGCAAGCAATGCAGCGCCGGGCACTTTGAAAAGTGCCTGGTGCTGCAGCAAGTGCATGTGTAAAAATGCCCACAATGTTCTGTTTTGTTTCCACAATTGTGGAAGCCCAAGGATTTCAACGGTACTTCTGATAGGCTATCAAAGGTATAGTTTTAAATTAAGTAGGGTGAATTTGATTAGAAATGTGCTGTCAGTTTCAGAATACTGAGCATAGATTTCTAAAAGGGAATGGGTTTTTTAAAACAACGCATCTACACATGTGCTTTAATGCACATTAGCCTATCTTAATACACATTAAAGCATCACAAAAAAACCATGCTCTTTAGATAATGCACATTAAAATAAGCTAATGCACATTTTTCTAGTACCTCACAATGGAGGGTACTAGATTTAATGCATATTACCTAAAGTGCATTAATGAACATATAGATGCACCCAGTGTGTGCTCGTTGGTCACTTTTAAAGATGTCACATGAAAAGAAGAACCTAATGAGCAGTTGATTCTTCAGTGTAGATAGCCAAGTCCATTTGGAAATTCTAGTAACAAAACATTGAAGGGCTCTGTCTTATGAGGTCTGGAACCACAGCTAAACATAGTTCCATTACTATGGATTAAAGTGGATCACACTTTTCTCATGTGATCCAAGATGCAAGACTGGGATGAAACAGTTATTGCCCAGACTTCATAGTAACAGACAGTTGTTATCAGTCATAACAATTATATAACTCTGTAAGTGTACAGTTTAAATTATATGTTCCAATGATGGCAGGTAGTTAGCTGTGTTAGTCTGAAGTTAGGCAGAACTTTATAGACTAACTAAATTAGAGATGCATAGCATAAACTTTCGTAAGCAACAGGATTACTGTCTGACGGCACTGGATGAAGTAAGCCCACTGCTTATACTATGCATCTCTGGTTTAGTTAGTTCTATAAGAGCTCTGCTACATATTGAAATTAAAGCTGGATAGAAAGCAACCATAGAGTTGTTACACATTTTCAAGCACTAACTTTGTAGCTGGTTGGCTCATTTTACAGCTGGATTTTTTTATGGTGTGATTATTGCTTTGCATGTATGGCTAGTCTAAATTTATTGCACAATTAACCAGTTAATTGTGTGATCTGTGGGACAGAGCTGTACTACTACCCAGCACATCCACAGGTGGCAGATAGCAAAATGGCCTTCAGGAAAGGTTAGCTGTGAAATAAGTAGTGGTAACTCTGACAAATAAATAGATGCAGACCAAGCAGCGGCAGCACCACCAGGATGTGGTGAGAACAGCAGATGGCGGTGGTTTCCCTCTTAAAAAGCCACATGTATCCTTTGATGTTGCTGTGACATGTTGAGTATAGGTTGCCACTATAATAAGTCTGCCCAGCCCCCAGTCACAGGTCTACAAGCCCTCAACAGCAGAGCAGGTAGACAAAGATGTTATTATCTCAATGGCTGTGATGGTGGATGAAGGCTGCAACTGAGTGATACCTCCAGATATCTTGGTCTCCTTGCCATTAGATCAAGGTCCCGTTCTGTCAAGAGCCATGTGGAAGCTGATGTACAGCAGCTTCTCCACAAAAAAGGAAGTCATGCACAGGCATTTTCCATGAAAACAGCTTTTCCAGCACATTCTTCAAGCCCTTTGGTGACCCAATAGCAATGGGAGAATATCAACAGCATGTGAGGTGCCCTCAAAGCCACCATCATCAGCGCCTGTGAAGAGACACTGGGATTCTCTACCAGGAAACATCAAGACTGCTTTGATGAGTATGAGAATGACCAGGAAATCCAAGAGTTGATTGATCACAGGCACAAGGCCTTCTGTGCTTGACAAAACAACACCAACTCCAAGCAAAAGAAATTGAATCTGAAACAAGCCACGGCAGAGGTCCAAAGGAGGACCTGCAATCTGAAGAACAAATAATGGGAAGACAAGGATAAGGAGATTCAGCATCTTGCTGAAATGCATGATGCACATGTTTTCTTCAGTGTCACCAAAGCCTTTGATGGTCCAAGCACTTGGGGGCTAACCCCCTTGAGACCTGAGGATGGAGAAAACCTGATCAAGGAAAGAGGAGCCATCAATGCCCATCAGAAGGAGCATTCTGAAGATCATCTCAGTTGAGATTCTGCTGTTGATGAGAGTATTCTCAGCTCCATCCTGCAACACCCAGTCAGAGGTGATCAGAATCAGAACCCCTTCAACTCTTGATGAGGTAAGGAAAGCCATTGAGCAGATGAAAAACAACAAGGCACATGATGTGGATGGAATCTCCACTTAAATCTTCAAACAAGGAGCCGAGGAGCTCACATCACCGCTTCATGCCCTCATCTTAAGGATCTGGAATGATGAGGAAATCCGAGAGACCTCAGATGACATGATTGTGAGTCTTCAAGAAGGGAAACAAGTCCAACTGTGGAAACTACAGAAGGATTACGTTGCTGCCTACTACAGAGAAGATCATTGTGAGAACTCTCCTGAACCATCTCCTCCTGCTTGCTGAAGAGCTCCTCCTGGAATTTCAGTGTGGGTTTAGGGCATGCACAACTGACACGATCTTCATAGCTCACTAGCTGCAGGAGAAATGCCGGAAACAACATAAGCCTCTCTACGTGGCCGCTTTTGACCTCATAAAAGCTTTTGATTCTGTCAGCTGAGAAGTGTTATGGAGGATTCTTCTGAAGTATGGATGCCCACCAAAATTTGTCACCATTTTCTGCCTGCTCCATGATGGTATGTGTGCTGTGGTTGTCAGTGATGGATCTATCACAGATTCCTTCTAGGTTAAAATGGAAGATAAGCAAGGCTGTCATCGCTCCAACACACTTCTCAATATCCCATGCTGTGATGCTACATCTGACCACCAACAAGCTTCCAGCCACAGTGGAGCTAAACTACCAAATGGGTAGTAAATTGTTTGATCTCAGCTGACTCTAACCCAAAACCACCCTGACCTCAGTCATTGAGCTCCAATACACCGATAATGCTGTAGTGTGTGCTCACTCAATAGTCAACCTTCAGGCAATTGTTGACATCTTTACTGAGGCATACAAGAAAATGGGACTGACGTTTAACATTCAGAGAACTAAGGTCCTCCACCAACAAGCTCCTAATGAACCAGTCCCCAGCTCCAGTAATCCAGATCCATGGTGAGACTTTGGAGAAGACTGAGTATTTCCTGTACCTCAGAAGCCATCTCTCACAGAAGGCTGATGTCAACAAAGAAATCCAGCATCGCCACAAGTATAGCCTTTGGGTACCTGAAGTGGGTGTTCGAAGATCGCAACATCAAATTTGAAACCAAGCTTATGGTTTATCAAGCAGTCACGATCCCCACCTTGCTATATGGAGCTGAGACCTGGACAACTACAGGAGACATCTAAAGTTGTTGGAGAAGTTCCATCAATGTTGCAAGTGGGACATCATCTGAATCCAGTGGGAAGGCAGATGCACCAATGTTAGCATCCTCCTGCAAGCAAACACCATGAGTACTGAGGTGATGATCATCCGACAAACTTTGTTAGGCTGGCCATGTCATCCGGATGTTCCCAGACTCCCGAATCAAGTTTATTCCCTCAGCTCAACAAAAGTGTAGGCTCAAGAGGAGGGCACAGAAAGTACTTCAAGAATGTCCTAAAGGCCAACTTAAAATGCAGTATCAGTGTCAACTCATGGGAGACTGTCACCCAGGACCACCCCAAATGGAGGAAGAGTCTGCTGCTGCTGGGAAGTCTGTACTTTGAAACCTCATGACAGCAACAGGAGATGGAAAAGCAGGAACGGTAGAATCAGCATGTTGCAGACCAAAACAAGAATCCAGCGCCACCCACCCCACACAGAAACATATGTCCGAGCCATAGTTGAGTCTGTCAATCCCGGATAGGCCCTATCAGCCATCTTCGGCTACACAGATAAGACAACCATCCTTAACTGTGGGGGGTTGCCAAAGAAGAACTGTCTCATAATTACTTTGCACTTGTAGCAGGTCTTACTTTACGTGTGTGGCCAGTCTAAATGTGTTGCATCATTAGCTCATTAATTGTGTAATATAATGTAATGTAGCAGGGGCCTAAGATACAAATCCAACCCTGCCATATTCTAACTATACTATGACTCTGCCTCAAGAAGTTTAGAGTCAACATGCACTGTTTTAGGGACCAGGGCAATCCCATGCATAGTGCAGTGGCAAGAGGGCATTAACATTGAAATGTTTTGCGGCAGGAAGGCTTCATTTGATCCTGGTCTCCATGTCTCAGGACCTGGGGCTCACTCTGACACAATCCAGTTGTTTCTAACTGAGGATGCAGCATCAGGAAAGGAGATTCCAAGGTTCCAGTTTCTCAGTGTGTTCTAGTTCCATTTTGTGTATATTCTCTGTGCTGCAC